TGTCTGGTTAATCTAGTCGTTTTAAAAAATCTCAATAGATTTTCTTAATAAATTTTAAAAGTATGTATACTTATTGTAATATAGTATAGTATAGTACATAATAAAGTATAATATTATTTGTAAATTAGATGTACTCTGAAATTAGAGTTTTATGTCACCTTCAGCTTATTCTGATTGGATTTCTTTAATTTTTGTCTCATTCTTTCAAAGCTTTCCAAAGGATTTGAAGCAGTTATTTTTTCCTTCACCTTGTCATTTTGTGTACGTACAGCAGCCGGGCAGAGCACCTTCGACTCTGGCTACCAAGTTTCGGTCGGTTTTGGAAAAGATTTTGAGAATTTTGGGCACGTTCGCGACGTTCAAAAGAGATTAAAAGCGTATAATTGTCGCCTTAGCAGCAGAAGTGGGATGGGATCCAAGTGGAGGAGGACTGGGTGAAGTTGCGCGAAGTTTAGGGGGAGGCGTGGCAGTTGCCCACCCAACCAAGCCCACGGCCCCCGGGTGGCCATGGCCCGGGATGTCGGGCATGATTTAGGCAAAGTGCTCGGAGGCCTTCACTTCACTTGTGCCTGCGGCGGCGCCTGAGCGAGCAAATTTAATTTCCGTGACAGAAATAAGTTTTGCGCTTAAATGCACAAGGCCTCTCAGCCTGCCTCCGTGCGTGGCCAGTTTTTCTTGGGATTTTTCCACGCTTTTCTGTTTGGGGAGGTAGGATTGCTGGTGCCAACCCGCCCGCCTGCTTTCTTGCTGGCTTGACTTTTATTAAAAGCTCATTAGGCGCCGGCAAAAGTTTTGCACCCGCCGCTTTAGTTGATCAATCTGTGCCGTCGCTGATGGGAGATAAGTTGGGTAACGTCACCCGCAAATAAATCCATCCCATCTCTAGACGTGGGTCCAATCTCCAACTCAACCTGGAGAGCTCATCATCATGGGGGGTGATGTCTTAGCTGATAGTGACATCATCATTATGGCGTTAGTCAACTATTTCGGCCAGGTGTGGACGGTGGCAAAAATATTTCTTAATCTAAACAGTGATAAAAAAATTCAATTGCATTATTTTCAGTATCAAATAGGAAACAAAAACGTGGTTTCAATATCTTGAAACTGTATGAATATAATTTACAGAGCGGGTTTTTACTCAAGGAGCCTGCAGCGTTATATTTTGTTTATTAAATAATGAAAATAATATATATATTTAGTAAAAAAACATATGCAATTGTAACAAATTTAGACAACATATTATAAAATTTAAAAATATAAGGATGATCCACCAAAAATTATACCTGTAGTATCAGTTATTGTTGAAACTGCAGTTTACTGCACTTTAAACTTCAAATAAACATTCATTTTATACTTCAGCTTTGCTCTGCTCATCTTGTATTTAAAGTTGTAATCTTTCCGAAAACATTCCAATCATGGAACGTAACACCTTTTAATAAAATTTTCGAATACTTCCAAGTGTATCCCCGTATCCCAAGTTGAGGCACCGTAGCTCTGACGTGACGTGACGACGAAAGAACCAAAAGACCTAGCCAACGGCAGCCAATTTTTCAAACGTGGCGCCGAGGCAAATCTAGCGAAGAAGTAAGAAAAATTCTGCGGTCCAAGCAAAAAAATGCCGGGCGCAAAAAAAATTGCTGCGTGTCGTGGAGCCCGGCAGGATCAGAAAGGAGTCGGCCAAGGTCCTTGGCTGGCCCTTTGTTAGTTACCTTTTTGCGTCTTTTGCGCCAAATCAAAATGGCAGCAGCTCAACGCGTTTCGTAGCTGTCCGCTCTCAAGTGATTTAGTTTGAAGGCGACTGACGACAAGGACGACTCCTTTAGTCGCCTTACTTGGCATTCATGACCAGAAACTCGACACCCCCCATGCCCCGGCAAGAGACGCCACCCCTGGCAGTGACGCCTTTACAAATTGGATATTTCAGCGGGTCCACTTGAAAGCTTCGTTTGCTTCGCTCGTGCGCAAAAATTTGCAGTCCTTCAGCCTTCGCCGAAAAGAACCTTTCCTCCTGCAATCCTGCCCACATGTGGCTCAAGTGGCAAGTAGCAAGTGGCGTGTGGCCACAAATTAACTGGGAAAAAGTGTGGAAGGAAGGAAAATCATAATATAGACATGGTCAGCAAAAAAATGAGCCAAAGAAACAGAATGAAGTCCTCAGCTCCGTCTTTATCATCGGTAAGGTCCTTGGAGAACGGCATCCGAGAAACCTTTTTTTCATTACAGTGTCCTTTACGAGAGAACTCGAGGGGAAGTCCCATCAAAAAGTTCCCATGAATGTATATGATGATTTATGTACAATTAGATTATGTAAATTAGTATGTATCAGTAAACTGAAATCTTCCTTCACTCCAGCTATGAATATATTATTTTAAATTAAAGGAAATAAAAACAAAGTACCAAAAAATAAAACAGGGTATTTAAGGCTGTCATACATTAAATGCGTAACCCCTAAAACCATTTTATTTTGCCTTATTTTTGAATTCCATTTAAAGTTTGTAAAGGCGAAACATCAATCTTGGCCCCTGAATGACAGACAGAAGCTGTTATATATGGCTGCCTTTGCATCTGGGGGGAAATCATGGAGAACCGGGCGGAGAAAGTGAGTTGAGGAACTTTCCCCGGCCCGAGTCGGTGTGGGGGCGCGGCCTGGCGGAAGGAAGTGTCAGGCAGTTGAAGAAACAAGATTGTGACTCATTAAATTACATTGCAAATGTCATTGTAAAGTAAGTCAAATGGAGGCGGGGCGGAGCGTCAGCGGAGGGCTAAGGCAGAGAGCCTTCAGCTTCAGTAGCAGGATGAGAGCTGGCTCTGTTTTGTGTCCTTGTTGTGCGTATAAGCAACATTCATTTATTTATAAATTACTTTTCCGGCCACCCGCTCGATCCACGCCCGGCCTGACCCAGCCCTGTTCTGGCAGCAATTTAAAATGATAATTTACACAAATGCGTTTAAATAAATAAAACGCACCAAAAGCAAACGCTTTGCGAAGCTACTACCCCCAGCACCACCCACACCCACGCCCGTCCCCTTTGGCTGTGAGGTGTGGTGCCTACGACTGTCCTTAAATCACGCGTAATGAAGTTGTCCTTGTTGTGGTGCCCTTAAATTATTGTTACTGTAGAGATCTGGTAGATCTTCCTGCCTGCTTGCCGTGGCTCTTTTAGTGCCGTTTTTGTATTCAGTACTGAGCTACGTTGTTGGTTTGTTTCCGTTGGTTGCCGGATTGCCGTATTGTTTTTGCATTTTATCGCAGCGCATTTATTTTTGCATTTCAAAGTTGCTTTTGAGGCAATTGGAGCAAGTCATTAAAAACAGACATCGGGCTTTCTACTATCTGGCACGAAAAGCGGAAAGGGAACCGGACTGGACTGGATTAAAGTGGGCAGGGAACCGACAAGGTGTCAGGTCTTTCAAGTCACTTTCGCATTAAACAAATGAGACCACTAGAGGATAAATTAAAATATACTTTGCACCATACATAATTAATGCGCAAAGTGGGTTTTTTATTGCCATTTTTCTGTGACAAAATGTTACCAATTATTCCATGACGAAGCTGTCCCAGCAACAAGGGCTCTGGCTAGAGCGAAATTGAAATGTACATCCAAAAAATGGCAAATGGTGCAGCCAGCTCAAGTCAAAGAGAATTCCACGACATTTGACATTCGGATTTGAACTTGCTCGGTTGCAAATGGAAACTTTTTGCTTCTTTTACTGCAGTGCAGCAGTTTTAGCCAATTCCGAGTTAAACGCTTGCCATTTGTCATTTGCTCACCTGGATGACCCCAGGAATTCCCAGTTCCGAATTCCTTCGCCCCTTCCCTCATCATCGGGCAAACAAATGTCCAAAGTTCAGTCTCTCGGTGCTGCTTTCTTCTGCCATTTCCCCCCTCTGCACCTGGCTGCCGCGCTGAGCCCCCACACGAAGTGGCTTTGTTGCCGCCCCTCAGATTTCTTCCGACGCGTGTGCACTGTGCCAGGTCCCAATGCTGGCAGCCCCCGCACTCGACGCCGGGGAAAAGTACATGTTTACAGCGCGCAAAGCCAACGGTAAACGTAAACAGCCATTAACTTTGGTGGCATACTATATTTTTTACTCAAGGTTCTGCCGTACTGCGTCCCAAAATCCGCACCGCGGAGCCACCCTTCTGTAGTGGGTCATGATTTGACCTACAAAATAAGAGAAATCTTCGCAAAATTAAAATAGCTCTTTAAAAATATCTTTCCAAAAAAAATGCATTTTGTAAAAATGCTAAAGAATCTGTTATTTGAAGCCACTATTTTGCATCACTACTTTTTTTTCCTTTCAAGCCTTGCATATTTCTTTCAGTTTATTTTGAGAAGAAAATTGGAAATCTTGTCTTTCCATGTTGCCGTTTTACCCCTTTTTTGTTGCTCATCGAAACACATGCTTCCTCGGTAACTAAACAATAATATGCAACTGCACCAGCACTGACAACAATTTTCCATTTATTTGCACCGTCAACATGTCTCAGATAAGTATAGAAAAGTATATTTTTAGTCTTCATTTTTAGGCTTATTATTAAAACTGCTTATTAAAATCAAATTTTATATTTACGATTATAAAAAACTTAATATATGTTAATAAAATATTATACTCAACTACCATACCCGTAAAATAGAGTGTAACCCAGAATAAAGCGTAAGGAAAGCAAATCCTGCTTGTAGTTGACAAAATATGAAACATGCCGGTTTCCTTGCTTTCTTCCTTCGACTTTCCTTCTCGGATCCCCGCTCCGGGTTATTGCAACAAAATGTCAACCAAGGGCCATAAATTGCGTCAGTCTGGCAAATTTTCACAACACTTTTTTCCGCCATGGCTTTTTCGATGTTGTCTCACCGTCGTCGTCATTGTTGACATATTTGAACAACTATCCAAAGGTGAACCGGCATAACTTTGATTTCGCAGCCATAAAGCGGGCTGGGCGAAAAAAGCAAACAACACGTGTACATAGTTTAAGTGCCCTGAGCCGTCAGTTTATCCCCCGATCCATCAACCCCTCTCTCCCGGCTAATACCAATCCCAATTCCAGGCCCTGAACTCATCTTGATTGCTTTTCGCGCTACGTCTGTCGCATATTTTAAATCCCCAGTTGAGTGGCAATCAAACCAGAGTCGCAGCCAGAACCAGAACCCGAACCAGGGCCCGAACAAGAGTCAGTGGCAGTAACAGTAACAGTCCTACAACCAGGAGTCAACCACCCGCCAACATCGCCACCCCAGTGACCTCGGTAAGTTTCTTCCTGTTTTACCAGCTCCCTTCCCCAGCTATCCCCCACTCAGCACCCACTACCATTCAGCAGCTCAACTGCTTCGGATGCTGCTTCTGGCTTAATTAAACAAGCGCAGCGTCACCTCAGCAACGGCCGCCAGATGGGAAAATGACGATGGGGATGGCTAAGAAGGGGGCTAGCCACAGCCGGACGAGTTCGCCAACTTTTAAAAATGATAATAATTTGCTTTTACCCAGAGAGAGTTTTCCGTCGCAATGTAGCAAACCACTGCGAGAAAATATTTTGAGTTAGCTTTTCTGGGCGAATAGGGTATGGAAGTGGTGCTCAAATTACCGTATTCAATAATGATTCGAATAAAAAAAAGCCCCTCCGTTTTTACTTGTGTACTCCCCAGCTCTATTTGTAGTTCATCCCCCTGGAGCGGAATGTTAGTGACACTTGCTCTGCGGCTGTTTTGCGTTTATCCTCGCACCTCACTGGCCCTGGATTCTCTTTGTGGCATTGTGGTTCTCCTTGGCCAACAATGTCTCCATCTTGTTAAGTCCATAATTATATTTGGCTATCGTTAGGCCGGGTCATTGAGGGCCGCGCTCAGCCTAAGCGGATGGCACTGGCATTGGCAATGGACAGCAGACGTGGCTAATCCAGGTGGTCATCGCCCTTGGTTGTGTTTTTATTTTTTGTTGTTTGGCATGCTGGCCGTTAATTGCAATTTTGAAAGACGTCCAGGGAGCTTAAGTATCCTTTGAATCGCCTTTTGTCGACAATTCGCAGAGGAGAAATTCCCGTTTGTAAGACGCCTTTTGACACTTAGCGCTCAAGCGGAATATTATTGGGACCCTTGATTCTGGCACTCTAGGGCGTTCGGACAATAGAAGCTGCAGTACTATTATTTGTATAACCTTAGAGCAAACTCCTCCACCTCATGCACATCTTGCACCTTGTTGAGCTAAGTTTAATACAATTTCGAATTTCCAGCGTAACCCTGTCAGGGTATGTCCCATTGTTGTCTTCGATGCAGGACTCGTTGCATGGCCAATTGCATGCTCAAGTGGCGAAGCTGCGTCAAAAGCCGGGAATGAAAGGTCTATGGAAATCAGACGACTCTATAGCCCTTTGTCGCCAATCGGGACATGCTGGAAATGACTGCGCCATATTAGCACCTGGTACGGTCCACAGCATCTTTTCTCCTGCCCGTAACCTGGGCAACGCCTTTACCCGCACCTTGGTGAGCCTCACGTCTGATTTCGCTGGGAATCGGCTTTTGCCCTAACACTTTTCTGTCTAAACGGCATCAGAGGAATGAGAATTAAAAAGAAATGGGGGTGAGTGGCTGGTTCCAGGGATTTCATTTGCAAGACAGTTCACAAGACCTGCCATTTATCTTTATTGAAAATTGTGTCTAAATAAATCCTTTAGCTTATAAGATCTGGTGGAACTAGCAGAACGGCTTTTAAACTCTATTGAGTTTAATCAACGAGTTATAAAATCTTTTCATCATCTTATTAGAATTTATCTTATGATTAGATGAACTGCTTATATGCTTTGATTTCTCTTGAAGCAAGATTCAGGTAAAACAGTTCCAAAAGCTTGCATCTCCTTGCCCGTCTAATTTAACCAAGTCATCAGAGATTCTATCCAAAACAAATGCCCACTGCTTATATTATTTCTAGCTCTGCTAGTTGTTGAGCTTTCATTACCGGCTAAGTGAATTGCCTAATGGATTTCCCAGACGCCTCGGTCGTCATCGTCGTGTCGGGCTATGCGAGTGTATAAATTAAAATCCAAATGCAGGCAGCGTGAAAATTTTCGTTGAAAACGGCAAAATTAAATACAGATGCACTCACATGTTAGCCAGACAATTTGCCATGGGTAGAACCAAAGAAGCGAAGTGCAGATTTTCCTGCTGTTTCTTTCTTACTTTTTTTCGGTCCTTCCCTCTACAAACAAATTTAATTTATTCGTGCAACTTTTTCATGCCGAATTTACGAGCAAGTGGAGAAGCTGCTGCAGAAGCGCAGCTCAGTCGAAGCTCGGCTCGGTTTGCCGCGGATGATTGTGTCCTTGCGCATCCTGCAAGCCCAGAAACTGAATATCCACTGCCTTTGTCCTTCCCCTGGCATTTTCCCCTCGTCCAGCCCGGGTCCTGGCCAACCCGTCTGAACCGTGTAAGCGTCATAGCCACGTCAATTTATTTATTTCTGGATTTCAGTTTTTAGTTTGCCGTACGTTTTTCCACAGAATATTTCCACTGTGGGTCGCGTTCTTGGCTGGCAAACCGTGGCTGCTAAAAAAAAAACCTTTGGTAGCTTAATCCTAGTAGACGAACTTGAAATTCCCTATGATCTGGTTTATTTCCACCTAGTGTCTAAAAAATTATTTCTTGGACTAATACAAAATATTAGCCAGTTATGGATAATATACTGATGGAGATTATACTGAATTATTGTCGTTAGAGTAACAACCCTTTTCACAACTTACTATGACATGAGTGTCCACATACCCCCTGTAACAGCAATAACTGAAAAAAGGGAAAAGAAATCACTTGATATGTTGAAATTACGGGTTTCAGACCAGACCCCACCAGTCCAGAGGAGATCCGACTAGTCCCGGCCAGGGGTGAGTTGAGTTAAGCTGAACTGAACTGAGTCGCTGGCTGCTGGCTGCGCTGGGCGCGTTAAAATTTCGTTATTATGTTGACAGCATTTTTGCTATTTTTACTTGAAAGCTTAACCAAGCACTCGCACACAAACATATACGTACAAGTGTATACACATGGGGTCCCCTGGTGTTATTTCGGTGCTTCCCAGAGCTTGTTTTTTGGTTGGCTGGCCGTAGTCCCTCCTGTCATTCCCCCCATTTCCCATTTCTCCTGGCCATTTCCAGATCCGTCGTCGCTTGTCAGTGATATATGTAAAATATTTTCTGTGGCGGTAGCAAGGACAGAAGCCGGCAGCAGCAGCAGCACCAGCGGTTACTGCCACGAACTGAGCTATTTTGTGGCAATAAGCATGAAATTTAAATGAGTCCTGTCCCAGGCTACGTTCGGTTCCCGTTACCCATTTCCCAATTTCCATCCCCCCGCTCTTAGCCCTTCGCGCACTGGCTTTTCCGCTTTCCCCCAAGCTTTCACTTAATCCCCATTGGAACGGTCTTCATTTGAGTACCATTGGGTTATTATTTCATCTCTCCGCGTAGCTTTTCCTTTTTTTTCCTCTGCACGCACCGCTTGCAATTAGTGAGTTCGTGTGGTGTGGCAGTGCACCGCCCCCAGCCGCCCATGTTGGACAGAGATAGATAGCTGGGGCATGTGATAGATTGTATTATGTGCTTACTTCCCCGGATATTCATACGAATGTCATGAAACTTTTTATGTCCTTTTTTGTTCTCATTCAATTCAATAAGTGCAACCGTGGCAATGCAAAAAGTTTAAACTAAACAAAATTGTTCACAAAGTGAGAAATGATAAATGTGCTTTAATGAAGAGTTTCGAAAATGCATTAGCCTGTCAGAAATACAAAAATTTTATAAGATAATTGTAATTAATTGTAAGTAACTCTGATTTGTGTTTATCTTTCTTAATCCTGTATATTTGATAATGGGTAAAAAATTGTTCATTATATATAGGGTATATCATTGGGACAAGTAAATGGAAAATGTCCGAATCCAATGCATTGCAATGGCCAAGGGCAGCACAATATTCAATGTTCATTAGACCCAATGGAAAATTGTTGTGTTGGTAGTGCTTTTTCTTGTTTAAGATCCAGTTTTCGTTTTCATAGATTCGGTTTTAAGAAGACTTAAAAAGAGAGCAATGCAGAGCATTTATTTATACATGTGTACGTGAGTTTATTTTTATTTCTTATTATTTATTTATAACATTTAGACAAGGTTAGTTTACTGCCTTGGGTGGGGAAACTGGAAACTTGCGAATCCTGACAGCTGCGTCCGTTCATCTAATGGCTGTGTGTGTGCTCGTGGGGGCTACCAGGAGTGCAAGCTAAATCCGCCCAGGGTTCACTAGCATTCCCCACCCACCGCACACTATATACAGAGCGCTGTGCGTTAAGAATGCGCTTACACAAATTTCTGGTATTATGTTGCATACTTTTTGGGGTAATTTATGATTTCCAAGCACATGCCTGCGGGGCGGATGAATCTTAGGGACTGGGGCTCCCCGAAAGAAAGACAGCAAAAAGCAATACAAATGATGTGTAGTGACGTGCAAGTTTTTGTCCGTGTCCGTTTGTGTGAGCTTAAAATGAAACCACATTCGATTGTCTAGGGGGAGAAATGGGATAACAGGATAAGATAAATAGAAACAAAAAGTTCAGAAAATATAAACCGAGGGGATATCAGTGGGCTTGGGTTATGGGTTAGCTGGTTGAAACTCACCGAAAGGTTTTCCAGGCCTTTGCCTTCGGCTTTCGACGGAAATCGAGTCAGCCCAGTTCAGATGCATTGAACTCTTAAGCCGAAAGGCCGAGACCAGTCTGCACCAATGCGAAATCCTTTTCGGTTTCCATTTCAATCAGAGCTGAAATCGTTATATAGCGTGAGCGGGGAAGCCTCCTTTTGAAGACCCGTTACGGCTTCTCGTCATTAGCTCTGAACTTGGCACTGCAGAAGCAGCAAAGCAAAGATCAGAACAATTAATGCGACTTCTTGTGGCTTCCTTTGGGAGGGACTTTAAAAGCACACTTGAAGAAATCAAATAAGAAGTAACATATTTGTTTATTTAATAAAAAAAAATGAATATGTTATTTTTTTTTTAAATAATATTGTATAATTAATATTCTTCTAGGGTCTATACATTATTTTCAGTCTTTCGGCTGTAATAGGGATAGCTATCCGGCAGAATAGAGGGGAGCTTGCTTTGAGAGAAGTTCATTAAAAAATCTTATCAAAAGCAAATGCCACTTTCTGCCATTTTGTTTCTACGGCACTGCTGCTCGGCTGTCCTTGCATATTTATGATGACTGACAAATCAAAAATGC